ATTTTTCTATTCTCTACTTATTTATCTCTGCTCTAATCTTTAATATTTCCTTCTGCTACCTTTGAGTTTAGTCTGTCCTTTGTTTTCTCATTCCTTAAGTTGTCAAGTTAGGTTGTTGGCATGAGACCTTTCCTGTTTTTTAATATAACAATTTATAGCTATAAATTTCTGCCTTAACACTGCTTTGGCAATATCCGCTTAGGTTTGGTTATATTGTGTTTTCATTTTCATTTGTGTCTAAATATTCTCTGATATTCCTTGTAGTTTCTTCTTTGATCTGTTGGTTAAGAGGACACTGTTTAAATTCCACAGATTTGTAGGTTTTCCAGTTTTTCTTCTCTTCATCCTGTTGTGCTTGGAGAAGATACTTTGTATGTTATCTATCTTTTTAAATCTATTGAGACTTAATTTGTGGCCTAAAATATGGTCTGCCCTGGAACATGACCCAGGTGCTCTTGAGAAGAGTGTGTATTCTGTTGTGGTTGTATATTGCTCTGTATGTTTCTTAGAGCTCTTTGGTTGATTGTGTTAAGTCCTCTCTTTCCATACTTATCTTCTGTCTGGTTGTTTTGCCCATTATTGAAAAGGGAATATCAAAGTCTCCTATTATTGTTGTAGAGCTGTCTGTTTTTGTTTCATATATTTTGATGGTTTGCTTTTAGGTTTGTAGATGTTTATAATTGTTATATCTTCTTGCTGTAATGAACCTTTTATTAATATATAATGCCCTTCTTTGTTTCTTGTATCCGTTTTGATTTAGATTTTATTTGTCTGATATTAACATAGCCACCTCTGCTGTCTTTTGGTTACTGTTTGCATGGAATATCTTTAGCCATCTTTTCATGTTCAAACTATTTGTGTCTTTTGATCTAAAATGAATCTCCTGTGGACAGCAGTAGCTGGATCATTTCTTTCATCCATTCTGCCGATTTCTGTCATTGATTTGAGAGTTAATCCATTTGTATTTGAAGTAATTACTGATAAGAAGGAACTTTTCTCATCTCTCTTATTTTCCGTATGTCTTATAGCTTTTTTGTTCCTCATTTCCTGCTTTACTGTTTTATTTTGTGCTCAGTTGATTTTTTTGTAGTGATACTTTAAAATTCCTATCTCATTTCCTTTTGTATATATTCTGTAGCTGTTTTCTTTGTGGTTACCATGGGATTCCATTTGATATCTTAAAGTTACTATGCTCTAATTTGTATGCCAGCCTAATTTCAGTAATATACAAAACTGCTTCTGTACAGCTCTGTCCCACCATTTTTTCAGTTGTTGATGTCCCAAAATTATATCTTTATACATTGTATGACCCAAAACATATAGTAATAAACATTTTTTAATACATTTATTTATTTATTTTTGGTTGCATTGGGTCTTCGTTGCTGTGCACGGGCTTTTTCTAGTTGCAGCAAGTGGGGGCTATTCTTCATTGTGGTGCACGGGCTTCTTACTGTGGTGGCTTCTTTTGTTGTGGAGCATGGGCTCTAAGCACACGGGCTTCAGTAGTTGTGGATCATGGGCTCTAGAGCGCAGCCTCAGTAGTTGTGGCGCATGGGCTTAGTTGCTCCGCGACATATGGGACCTTCCCGGACCAGGGCTTGAACCCGTGTCCCCTATATTGGCAGGCAGATTCTTAACCACTGTGCCACCAGGGAAGTCCTAGTAATAAACGATTAAATGCATTGGTCTCTTAATTTATGTAGGAAAAGTGTGGAATTGAAACCCAAAGTTACGATAACACTAGTTTTTAGGCCAATAACCGTTTTGTTTTAGTATGTTAGTCTCTTAAATCATGTAGAAAACAAAAAGTAGAGTTTTTAAGCAATTGTTCAATTATACTGGTTTTTATAATTGTCTTGTGTTTACCTTTACTGAGACCTTTACTTCTTCAAATGTCATCGAGTTACAATGTTCTTCTATTGCAACCTGCAGGATTCCCTTGAGCATTTCTTTCACAGCAGGTCTAAATGTAATGAACCCCCTTAAACTTTTTAAACCTGGGACTGTCTTAATTTCTCCAAAATTAATTGCGGTTCACTGTCCAAGCTTTCCTCTGCCCCCCTGGAAGTTGCAAGCCATCAACTGACTCCAGAGCTCCACTGTAGTTACATCAGATTCTGCCTGTGCGGATACTGTCCAAGTAGGACAGGGATTCCTCTTCTGCATCTTCCCTGAACCCTCTCCTCTGCTTTTTATAGAATTTGAGGTGGTACACCAATAAAGTACATTATAAAATAAAATAATTTTTGAAAAGCTTTTAAAAATAAAGATATATTTTCAGACCAAGATGAATTATTTACTAAGTATGAAAATTGGGTTGGCCTCCTACTGTCACAGCCACAAGAGAAGCACACACTTTTGATCGTACCATTTTCATGATCTACAGAAGTGGGAACTATAATATTAAATCTTGATTCTATAAAGATATTACTACTTGAAACAGAGCCAAAGTGATCTATGTTCTTAATTCCTAATGATTCCTCTTAATGTAAGTATAGACTCTGGAAATCCCAGAGAGATGAATAACTAGACTTTCTCTCAAATTTATAAGTTTTTCTTAAACCTTTGACTGTTTAATTTGTTTGATGAGTACCTGAAATGAAGTGTATGTGATGTTTAGTGAAAAACCCACATGCTTCAAATACTGAGAGGCATAAATAGAGTTGAAATTATCTGCCTTAACAGTCTGCTCCAAATGGAAACTCCCACCTCTGTGGTTGCTCAGGTCACCATTTTTCTCAGAAATAAATTTTGATTCAGTTTTTGAACAAAAATATCATTGAGTGTCCAATACACACCAAAAGTTGACAGAGAAAAGCCTTTCCAGTAAAGTGTTTTCCCTATAAAGGGCATTACAGAATGTCCGATTTAGTATAAAATGTACAAGTATAAGTTCAGGTGTTCAATTTAAGTTGTTCGTGCTCCCTGTTTAAAAGTGTGATTTGAACTCTGAAAGTTCCTAATAGATAGATCCTAGGTCTGCATTTGCCCCACTCCACAGCCGTCCTATGGAGCACCTGCCCAGCACCTACATGTGCTTTAGGTGGGCTTCCCTGCAGGATGTCTTAGAGCTGACACCAGTTTGCTTCTGGAGCACTCTCCTGCTCACTGCAGTTGATGTGTGAGCTGATGTGTGCCCCAGGAATGGACACTTATTCTAACGTGAGCCAAAGCAAAACTTCACTGGAAGGTAAACTTGCTGAAGATGTCATAAGATACATCCTTAAAATAAATACCCTTGGCCTTATCCCCAGTTCCTCCACGTTGATGTATCTGCTCTTAATGTCTCTTTTAGAGTAGAGCATTAGAGTTTGATGTTTGGGGCTTTGAGAAAACTAATTCTTTATTCAAGTACAAGTTTGCAGGAGTTTTTCTTACTAAAAGGTTCTGGTAAAGCATTCGAGCATGGGCTCTGGGTTTGTGATGTTGGCAGGGTCCAAGATTGGAATGAGCTTAGGGATACACAGTCCCCATTCCTAGTTATGTTTTCTTAACCTGTTAGCTTCCTGGTCGCTGTGTTGAACTCTGTTAACTTACCCTCTGAGCCCACAGAGGGGTGTGAGAATCATCATCTGCTTTCTCTAAGCTCTATGCACACTTTGTCAAAGTGCTTGCAGCCCCTGCAGTTACCAAGTTTCTGAACTTCCCACTATGTGGCCAGCTCCTGAGGGCAGAGGCTGTGTGTTCTTTTTCATATCCCAAGCACAAGTCTTCTATTAACAAATTAGCATCTGCCGAGCTGAGCTGAGAGCTCGGTTCTCAAGCTGTATACGACACCTGCACAGAGCGGGGGTTCTGTGAAGGTCTGTTTTAGTTGCTAATCTGAGAATGTGGATGATTTTGGTAGCTGTGGTCTTACTAACTCCTGATGCAGCAGGCAGGGGGTTGAAGGCATGTTTCATAAATCCAGCTTCATTTCCTCTTTAAACAAATGTTGTGGTTTTAAAAACAAACTGCGAAGAACTGCTTGTGTGTTAGATTCTAGAGTGATTCTACATTGCTTTGTATGAATTCAGTAAAACATCCACAGTGAAATCTTCTTCTGTGCAGAACTTCTGACAGGGATCCTCTGTGGTAGGATGGAAACCCCCTCTCCTGGTTTCTCTCCTCTCTTCCCTGGAGTGGCTAATGAATGCTTTTCCCAGGCATTTGACTGGACTTCCCTGAATATTACGATGCTCTGCACTGGTCCCTTTTACAGTTCAGCTCTGGGTGACATGCACTCCACGGTAACTTGAGACATGTTTAAGACCACGAACTTGGTAAAGTTTTCTGGGCTGCTTTTACTTTCCTTTTCCTCTTAGATTTCTTTGGCTAGAAAGCTTCTGTGAGAAAATTGATGTCACTAGATATAATTTCCAGTACTTTAAAAGAATTCATATTCCATACTGACTGTCGTGGGACTGGTTGCTGACTTTGGAGAAGCTCTTTACTGTAGCTGCACTGAGATTGGATTTGGGCTGCTGTCAAATGACGAGCATGTCTTACTGCACAAATGTGTGTGGCCTTCTGAGCCACATTTCCTGATTATTGAGACAGGAGCCGTGCGTCCAGTGTGCTCTGCTGGTCCCCCTGTTGCACGACAGGTGTGGTGTTGGGCCTGGAGATGAATCACAAGTCAGTTGTCGTCCCTGCCTGGAGAGGGGATGTGAGGAGTCACAAGTCCCCACCTACTGTACAGGGCTGCAGTGGGGATCGCAGTCAAACCCGCCATGCAGATGCAAGACCTCCTGACTTCATGGGCCAGAGTTACTAAGTCCTGGGGGACCAGGAAGTTTTGCTTGTGGTTTACTCTTGAAAATGGGAAGACTAATGAGAACATCAGCAGGCTGCTCTCTCCTAACAAAACCAAAGCTTGGCTACAGTTGTTCTCTGTTATAAAACCACCCTTAGGCATCGGATGTCAGGTCCCGTGCATTTCACGCGGCCTTGTTTTGTTACAGGAGTCCTTAGGATGGTCTCAGGCTCCGTGCGCTTAACGCGACCTTGCTGTTTTGCAGATGTCTCACGCAGCCACCAGTGCCTTCTGCCGTTCTATTAAGCTGCAGTGTGAGCTCTACCCCTCTAGAGAAGTGGCCATCTGCCTGGACCCTTACTGTGGACTTGGGTTCGTCCTGTGGTGCCTCTGTAGGTGAGTTTCGTCTTTGCACCTTTACCATATAAGTAAGTAAATCACACACGCGTTTTCAGACCACTTGCGAGAACTGCTAACGGGAGGGGGCCGCCTGCAGGGTGCGGCTCCTCCTCAGCCCAGCTCCGGGTGCCACAGGGACACCTGCCCTGGTAGCCACTCTCTCCAGCATCTGAAAAATTAGTCTCCGTAAAGTTTGCTGAAACCAACAGAGACAGAATCTGGGGCCATTCTCAGAAGCTGTCTGTTGGGAATCCATTTTCCAAGCGACTCCCAGGCCGTGGGCTTGCTTCTTATGCCTCTAAATCTTCTCAGGTGTCCCAGGCCTGGAATTGTGTTCACCGGGGGCATCCAGGCTCTTTCCTCCTCAGGCTTCTCCCTGACTTCAGCTGCGGGAGGCCGGAAGGAAGCTCCACAGGCTCCCCTACCCCCACTCCCCTGCGTGGCCCCCACTCCACAGCTGGCAGCCCCCAGGCCCAGCTCCTGGTAGCTGCCAACAAGTATTAATGGAGAGTATGAATGTTTATTGTCATTTTTCTCTAATTGTACATAGATGTTCATTGTAGAAACTTTAGAAAATACAAAATAATATAAAGAAGAAAATTAAGCCATCCATAAGTATACTACCCAGAGATAACAGTAAATACTCACTAGTAGCATTTTGGCCTATAGTCTTACAGAGTTTATTTTGTAATGTAGTATTTCTAATGTAGTACTATTTTTTATTATTAACATTTTCAAACATATACAAGTGTATATGTTTAAGTGTATAAAGAACACTGTAACAAACACCAGGGCCCAACAACCAGCTTCACGTGGATCTTATTTTGCCAGTTTGTTTTCATCCAGCCTTCTGATTATTTCTGTCCCTTTTCTGTATGGGCATTTTAAAGCAAACACCAAAAAACATATGGTTTCACCCATAAACCTTTAAGTACACATACAATTTTGTAAATGTACATTAATATATTTATAAAACTGAGATGCTACAGTGCAATTGCTTATAATTGCCTTTTTTCATAATAGTAGACATTTTCTCATCTTTAAACATTCTCCTAAAACAATTATTTTAATGCATTTATAATATTCAATTGGGTTAAATTGGACTAAATCCAATTACATATTTTTTAAAAACACTATCATTCTAATCACCACAATTAAACTTTTTGAGAAAGCAAATATAATTGAACAGTTGAAATATTTTAATGATTTTTGCCTCAATTCAGAATGCAATAGCATTGTGGGTAATTTTTTCTTGGAAAATAGTTCAGAATATACCATTCCAACAGTAGGGCCAAAGTGACTTTAGACATATCTGGCCAGCTGAGAAGGAAACCTATTCTGAACTACAGTTTTATAGGCAACTGTCTCTTGTTACTTGGCAATAGTGCCTTCTAGTTCTGCAGGCTCACCCAGCCAAGCCCCGTGAAATCTACAGAGAAGGTGCTGGTTGGAGTGAGTCCTGCTGCATGTCACCAGCAGCAATGGGACTCTCTAGAGGAATTGTACAGAGAGGGTGGCGGTGACCCTTTGCTTAATGTCTTACCTGCAAATTCATTCAGAAGTCACAAAATCAGCTATGACCCCTGCAGCACTAAAAATAAATACATAACAGCTGTAAACCTCTTCGTTCTGAAATCCATTATAGAAACAGATCGCAATGGACTTGCTTAAAAAACTGGACCTGTTTTAAAAAGCACGTCAGACAGTTGGTATTCATGGATTAGGAAATTCATTATTGTTAAGATGAAAATTCTCCCCAGACTGGATAAACTTCAAAAACATATGCCAAGTCTGAAAGAAGCCAGACTCAAAAGACCACTTATTATATGATTGTATCATATGATGCCATTTGTTGGAAATGTTCAGAAAGGGCAAATCTATAGAGACAGAAAGTAGAATAATGATTAACTGGGGCTAGGGCTGAAAACAGGATTGACTACAAATGAATACAAGGCATACCTTTAGGGTGATGGAAGTGTTCTAGAACTGCATTATGGTGATAATTATACACTCTGCAAAACTGTCAAAGTTCTTTTAATTCTATACTGAAAATGGATAGATTTATGATATGCAAATTATACCTAAGTAAAACTTTTTTAAAAAGGAAAACAACTTTCCTTGGAGTAACTGAAGTGCGTGGTACAGACCCTACCCTCCCGGTTTAGTAGGCTCACCCACGTGACACCACAGGGTGACATGTGTTGTCGTGAGTTGTGTGGCTGCCTTGCTCAGGGTGCCCAAATTGTGAGAGTTATCAATTCTTTGTATGTTTTATCAAGTTAATAATCAGAAATCATTGAATTACAAATGTACAAATTTATATTAGTTACCAAAATGTCTTTTTTTCTCTCTCTCCTGTTCAGGCATTTTTTATTTTTGTTTTTTTATCTAGATTTTATTTTGCAGAGTATTGTTAGGTTCACAGCAAAATTGAGTGAAAGGTACGAAGATTTCCCATGCACACCCCACCCCCACACGCACAGCTTCCCCTGTTATCAGCATCTCCCAGCAGAGTAGTACATTTTTTACAAACTAGGAACCTACCTTTGACACATTATCATCCCAGAGTCTATAATTTACATCAAGGTTCACTCTTGGTATTGTAGAGAGCCGAGAAATAGACCCACATAAGTATAGTCTGTCGATATTTGACAAAAGTGCAAAGGCAATACAATGATGCAGTGGAACAAAGGTGGTCTTTTCAACTAATGGTGCTGGAATAACTGGACATCCATAGGCCAAAAAAAAAAAAAAAAAAAAAAAAACTAGACACAGGTGTTAACAGCCTTCACAAAAGTTAGCTCAAAATAGATCATAGACCTAAAGGTGAAACATAAAACTATAAAACTCCTAGAAGAAAACTTAGGAGAATATCTAGATGATCGTGGGTTTGTTGATGACTTTTAGATACACCACCAAAGGCATGATGCATGAAAGAAATAATTGATAGGCAGACTTTATTAAAATTAATCATCTCTGCTCTGCAAAAGATACTGTTGCGAGAATGGGAGCAGGCCAGAGACTGAGAGAAAATATTCCCAAAATGTTTTTTAAATTGTTCTTTTTGAAGTTAAGGTCTAAACTAGAATAGTTCAGGTTCCAGAAATTCACAGGAAATAGTCTTCTTCCCTATAAGCAACTGTTATTAAGTAGGGAAGTATTTATAGCCAGTGCCAAGAAATCAGTGTTGGTTAATAAATGAAACAACAAATCGACTTTCGTTGGATTGAGCAAAAAAAAGGGCAAGTAGAAAATTGGTGAATCAGGTTTTCTGTTTGTCCTCTACTAGGATTTAATAACCTTTTTCTTAATGTTGCCTTCTGTTTATAGGAAGGAGGACAGAGGTGAAACTATGTTTAATTTTCACAAGTCTGCTTATATTCTCTAGCCTTGAACTCCACACTGGACCCTACCCTTTCATGCTCTAGCAGTCTGATCAAGCAAGTCATTTATCCTGGTGTATATTCTTGAGAAAGCTAGCAGTGGGTGATTTGTATTTCCTTTTCTTCATTTCTGGTCTCCTTATGATAGCATGTAAAAGGAAAATGCTGGGAACAATATGGGTAGATTGTCATAATTAAGCGGATCATCATAAGGTTTTTACCTGCATTTTGATTCCCTAAGACATGGGGCTCCAATGTCATTAAGTGTGTTCGGTACCTGCCAGAAAATGTAAAAGTCCTCAGTGTCAGAGAAGTGGTGTAAATTTGAGCTGGAATAAAAGTCATGCAGGGGAATCTAATTAAGGTGGTCTCGTTAACCCCGATTCACGAATGGGTTGAATAACATTTGGTGCTAACGGAAAACTATGCACCATCACTTTTCAAAGAGGGAAAAGGCATGTTTCCTAGTGGATAATTAACGATTTACATGGTGCATGATGTGCGAGGGTGTTAGATCTTGGGCTGTTACCTGGTGTATGATCCCATTTTTGGCCAAGATTGTCCTTTCAATATCCATTCAGCAGAGGTAAATTTTCCATTATTTTTATTTCTTCCTGCTTAATGTTGCCTTGAGGCTTCTCATTGGAGTTGGTACATGAGCTACAAAGAAAGCTCTAATTCAGGATCACGCCAGACATGGTGTGGGGGCTGATCCTTGAGCGCTGCGTTGCAAAGGGCAGAGGGTGCAACGGTGCCTGTGGCACAAAACACCGGTGTCCAACAAGTCGCCCTCGCAGGTGGCCGCCACTTGTGTTGGTGGCCTCAGGGGCAGGGGTCTCCCTTAGCTCTCATGGCCCCTGGAAAGAAGACAAGGGCTCAGGAACAGCCCGCAGGACCTCCGGGTGTGAGGGGAGCAGCCCTGATGTGCTGTGGGAGCCGAGGAGGTGTTTGGCTCAACTTCAGACCGCCAGTGCGTATTCTTGGTGGTTGTTGGTTCAGAAGCGAGAAAACAAAACATGCCGGATTCTCAACCAGATGGAAACTCTGATTTTTAAAGCACCACAGTGCTGGCTACAAGGACTTCCAGATGAAAGCGTGTTTTCACAAACTGCAAGGGCGCAGCTAAATTTGTACAGAAGTGTTACTGGATAGACGCTACTTGCAGTAAGTAGTTGTTTGACCAAGGTGTCAGTATTGTAATGCAGACATATTGTCGTGCTGTTTGATCTCTTAAATAGCCACACTGTAAAGTGATCTTTAAAGGCCTAAATCAATTTCCCAAGGACAAATCTTAAAGAAAAATTGACAGAATGTTGAGTGTTATAATTATTGGAATGGGATCTTATTGATTTTTGTATATTGACTATAGAAATAATTTTTTTACTTTTCCACAGGGCTCCACTAGAATGTGTAGGTTTGCATGTTTTGTGCGTAACAAAACTTTCACATCAGCAGGA